AAAGATAGGGAGGAGGCGACTTTGTGCAGAGAGTCTGAGGGTGCACTTCTAAATGCACTTCTAAACCATACTGGACACAGAGAAGCTAGTATCTGTGCAAAAGTACTCAGGATTGCGTTGTTTGCCTTCAAGTCGCTTCTGACTTATGGCAACCCTAAGGTGAACCTATCACGGGGTTTTCTCGGCAAGTTTCTTTAGAGGGAGTTTGCCATTGCCATCCTCTGAGGCTGAGACGACGTGACTTGCTCAAGGTCACTCAGTGGGTTTACATGGCCAAGCCGAGATTTGAACCTTGATCTCCAGAGTCAAAGTCCAATACTCAAACCACTATACTGTGAATATAACATCTTGCCTGATGAATATATACTGTGAATATAAATAGTGTGCTCCAGGGGTGAGCAATTCTGGCCTTCCAGTTATTTGGGGCTTTTCAACTCCCCATAGCCCCAGCTAGCACAACTGATTGTGAGTAGGGTTGTCATTTCAGGACCATCCCAGGCCCTGAGGTCTGTGGTCCAAATCCGGGACTTAAAGACAGTCCTTGGTGATGCTATTAAGTGTTATGCATTAAGAGCCAACCACAGTTGAAAACTTCATGGGGGCACCATAAGTCAACAGCCAACTGGAAGGTATGCAAGACTCAGTTCCAGAGGCTGCAGCTCATCTTGATCCATGTAGTGAAGACAATATTGGATTCTATGCTAATGAAAGACCCATGCACACAGTGCTGGCACACCAATTTTGCACTTGCGTGTGACTCTCAAGACTATATCAGACTCAAACCAAAAACACCAATGTGGCACGCCAGGGACTGACTTGGTTCAAAAATAATCTGAAACCAATTCAGGAGAGGCTCAGAACATGCTGGTGTGTAGATTCTATTTACATTGAGGGCAGTTTGATACCACTTTAACTGCCATGGCTCAATGCTATGGAATCCTAGGACATGTAGCTATTTGGGGCACCAGAACTCTCTGACAGAGAAGGCTAAATATCTCACAGTACCACAATTCCCAGAATTCCATTCCAGTTAAACTGGTGTCAAACTGGATTATTTCTACAGTGCAGATGCAGCCCTAGACTCATCCTACCAAATGGATCGGTGTAGGATTATACTATAAGGCTCCATTTCACAGTGGTGATAAATGTGTGCCCATATTGTACTGTTGCCATTTTAGACGACAAAGGATCCCATGACACATGCTCTCCAATATTTCACAGATGTAAATCAGGACACATATGGCTAAAGAAAACCAGAGCAACTAATGAAGAAGAACAGACAAGTAGGAATGACTGCAGCAGTTTGCTTTTGCCTGGCCCTACTGGGAAGGGCAAAATTCCTCCTCCACCACCACCCTCCTCTCCCTCCTGCCAGTTTAACGGAGTTCAAACTACTTTTGCACTGTTAACTCACTTGATAGCAATTGAAGTAAGCTGGGGACAAAAGGAGGAGGAGAGAGAAACTGGGACATTTTGAAAGCAGCAGAAAACGTGGGAAGGCAGAGGATTAATCCAGACTAACCTTGCCAAATCGGGAAAGTTGGAGGATTTTAGTTTCTTAACCAGCCTCCAGCCCTCAGACTAAAGTCTGAGACCAGAGCAAGACTTCTGACAGCATAACATCTCCTTTGAAATAAATGTGAGCAGCACACATCCACAAATAGGCCCTGAAATCGATACTCTATCTCCCGCCTGCCACTTAAGCATAAAACGGAAGGAATGCATAATTGCTGGAGGAGGGGAGTGTATGCATGTCATAAAGTGTCTGATAAATTGTTGCTGATTCCCAGCATGTACAAGTCTGAATTTGCTGAATCAGCGGGGCTGCCTTTGCATGCTCCACTGCCATGGGAGTCACAGGAGACTGGCTATTTTGATGTGCAGAAAATGACTAGCTGATGATAGCACAGCAGCCTTGATCTTCTGTGCAGTTACTAGTTATTTGTTATGATAAATGGGGCAAATGTGGGGTTTCCATCCTTGTAACATTCCCTTTGAAGATACAACATGGGTCTCAATCCTGCAGCCAAAGATACGATGGGAGAAAGGAGAGATACCACCTTCTGGTATTTAACGCTGCCTTGTAAAGTGTGCATTTAAAGAAAGGGGACACCAGCAGGGATCCGGATGCTAATCCATCCCATATTTTAAGGCAAAGGAGCTGACCAGCTCTACACCTTGCCAACATAAACACTGGTCACCCATGTCTTTAGAGGCCATGAAAGGAGGCCCTATGGAGGTATCAATCTGTAATATTCATTACTAACCCTTCCTAATTAAATTGTACTACAAACATGCTTAGATTTTCTCCAGGATGATGATCAAAAGAGGACCAAGATAATATGAATCAGTCCTTACTTGGTCTCTCCATGGGATTGTCTCTTCCCAAATTAAGTACATTTCAATATACTGTACTATCGACATAATAATCATAGAATTATATAATCTTAAGAGTTGGAAGAGACCACAAGGGCCATCCATTCCAAGCCCCTGCCATGCAAGAATGCACAACTAAAAGACTCTTGAAAGATGCCCATCCAACCTCTGTTGAACAACCTCCAAAGATGGAGAGTCCACCAAGACCATGTATTCCACTATCTTACATTTACTAAGTTCTTCCTAATGTTTAGGTAGGATCTCTTGTAATTTTAACCCATTGGTTTGTGTTCTACTCTCCTGAGCAGCAGAAAACAAGCTAGCTCCACCTTCTACATGACATCCCTCCAGATGTTTAAAGATGGCTATCATGTCACCTCTCAGTCTGCTATTCTCCAAATTAAACATATCCAGCCATCTCTCATAAAGTTTGGTTTCCAAAGAGGTGAGACACTGGATCAGTACAACATACTGTTTCTGACTGTGGCCAGCAAGATGTCTATGGGAAGCCCAGAAGTGGGGCACAAAAGCTACAACTTGTCTCATTATTGCTTCCTAGCCATCGGTATTCAATGTCATACTGTCTCTATACTAAAACTCAGGAAAGCACATTTTAAAAGAATTCGATATTGTTATAATGCTAATACCCGAAAAATAGTTTCTATTATACAGTTGCCATTTTTCAAAGGTAACTATTTGCCCTTTTCTCAAAAGGAATTATGATTACTTTTTGGATTACCTCTTTAAAAAGTGAATGCTACAAGCTGCTAACAAAACACATTGGTCATCACCTCAACATACACAACAGGGCAGCATAAGTCACAGTCCTTGGGTATATCCACACTATACAATTAGACCAGTTTCATCCCACTCTGTTGGCCATGGCCTTCTCATGGAATCCTGGAATTTGTGGTTGAGTGGGGCACTACAGCTCTCTGGCAAAGAATCTGGAGCTAAACTGCAAATCCCAGGATTCCAAAGGATGAAACCATGACAATGAATGTAGCATAACTGTGTAGTGCAGATACATCCATGAGGGACAGCATGAGGGAGCATTGTAGCCATGGGATAGTGCTCCTCCACCATTTCATGCAGTCATGCTCCTGTAACTTTAAAAGTAATTAAAATTACTGTTAACACCACAAAAGGAGTGATGTTATTATTCACTGAATTACAAAAGTAACAAACCACATTACAATAGTAACATGGACTTTGGTATTGAGGAAAGGAATTAAGCAATTTGTTCTTTGCAATGAGTTACTCCCAAACTCTGTTCCAGATCTACAGATCTACAAGTGAATTAATCTCAGTATTCCAGCAAAATGTCAGGAGCACCCAAACCTTCTTGTTCTTTTAAGGAAAACCCTTGAAGGAA